CTCACATCCAGTGAAAGAGGGGCAAGAGGGGAGGAAAGCAGCTGCCACAAACACATTTGAGGCAACTGTAGACTCCTGAAGTCTGAAGCCAAGAGACACCCATTAGCTCTGCCTGAGCTTGTCTCCCTCCGGGCATTGCACTTCTAGATCCCCTGCATGCAGCAAAATGACTGTTCCTGAAACACTGTTGGGAAGCAGTGTGCAGTGGGCAGAGAACAAAGCTACCAAGGTCCAGTGCCAGGCCATGGACAGCTTTGGCTGGTCTTGTCCTGCTCCTAGCCTCTGATGATCATGGTCATCTGATGATGTGTTTCCAGCAAGGCTGATTCAGCAGCTATAGCAATGAGGTTTAGACCCAGCCCTGTGAGAGGCTTTCAATGCACAGACCCAGACTGTTCATCTTTTGAAGGCTTGGAGGGGCTCTGGACAGGGAAAGTGAGCAATCCTCAGGAGACCACAGCTTACGCTAGAACCACTTGAGCTACATGTCTCAGAGCATCTAAGTCTTTTCCAATCAACATCTAGGATTTCTTATGAACCAGGCCATTAGTGGGGTTTCTTTCACACTGCATTACCCCTCTCTTCCTCCCTGGCTTTGATCGAAAAGGTCTTGCTGATGGAAATGGCGTCAAAGCCACAGCATCCCTGTATAAAGTTTTGATCTCAGTGAATCACAGTTATCTATTAAAAAAGTTATCTATTTAATAAAAGATATCTATCACAGTTATCTATTTCAAAAACAGTTTGATGAAATTACTTTTACATAAAATGTGTCCATGTCAGATGTTGCACCTTGGCAGCATTAGATGGGGATGACAGAGATGGGGACCTCTGGAGCGAGGCTCACCATACTGATGTCAGGCACCTCATTTAGGATGGGACAAATCACCACCTGAGGGCACACGCTTTTGGACTCCACTTCCCCATCCATAGGCAGAGGTACAGTCCCATCTCCCTGCCCTCTGCAGGAGGATGGCAAGATGGAGGGAGGGGGCAGAGGATAAATACACTTCACATGTTACCATGAGAAGGAAGGGTATAATCGTTTCCTTGGCGCCTGGTGGTGCTTACAGGTGGACCTGAAAACCTGGAAAAAGTGTTTCTCTTTTGGTGCTGTTCCTGCTTGTTGCAAGGACAAGCGTGGAGCTGGCAGCAAAGTATAAGTGTAGATCTGCGAAGGCAAATGCTGTCACAGAAGCAAGCATGAACACAATGTCTTTCCACCACTGCTTGAAGGCCTGTGTTTTTACTGCACCTTCAATAGTGGGCACTGCATTATCAAGGGTCTATATGGTGACAATGCATAGGGGACACTACGTGCCGAGTTGTGCAGCTCTGTGCTCTGTGATGGAGAGTCCATTCTTCCCAGGACAGTCTGGACTGCATCCCTCATCCATCCAGAGCCATTCTGGCTCCTCCTTGTTGACTTTGTTTATTTGATTTCACTCCTGGCATAAGGGACATGAGCAGAAAATTGACTGTGACTTGCACAGCGAGAAAGGAAGAAAGAGAAAGTATCATGAGATGAGGAACAGTCAACAAGGTCCTGAGCCCTGCTGGGTAAATCCCATTTAACTCAGTGACATCTGAGTGTAAAATAGGTCTAGGAATAGCTGGAAGACTTATGCCAACCCCAGCAAAGCACAAAGCAGAAGCAAAACTGCCTTTCTTTGAAGTCCTCAAACCCTCCCTACCCTCACCAATACCAGAGCTCACCCTTTACCTCTTCCAACCTCCTACAGGTGTTCCTGCTGTCCACTGCATCCCCTTCTTCAATAATTTGTCATTCAAATGGCCTTCTAATGCCTGTAAACACAGAAATTGGCATCTGGACAGCAGGAAATCTAGGAAATTAGCACAAGGGACACTTCTGGGCTTGTGGCCAATATATAGTCCTAGGAGCCACTGAAAGCACAGCAGACTCAAGCTCTAGAAAGCAGGAAGAGTGTCACTACGTTGGCATAAAGCGACTTGTAGCCCATGCAGGATAAGTGACAGTAATGCGCTAGTCTGCTTTGTGTTAACCACAGGGAGCATCAAAGCCAAACTCCTCGTGATACTGATTTGGGCATGGACAAGCCCAGATCTCAGCTCTGTTCAGGGCCCATTTAGTTGCTGTGGGGAAATGCCACAACATGCAGCTGTTAGCTCTTTTTTTTTTTTTTTTTTTTAAATTTCTGGTTCATCCTGTTTTTTGCCACCTCATCTGGTTTCCTCATGCCCATAGAGCTGTGGGCACTAGTCCAAGCATTTTGACCACAAGACTCACTAACTACTCTACAAGGGAGACACGCGGTGTGCCCTGACACTGTGACCAAAACGGGAGTTTCCACAGCAGCCCATCACAGCATCCAGCAATTCTCCTTCTGGCTTTTCTATGGGCTTTGGAGTGGTGCTGGCCCTGTGGCCAATACAGGCTGAGCTGCTCTCTGCTACTGTGTTTCAACTTCAGGTGTAGGCTTGAATCCCTCAAGAGTTTGAATGATGCTTTTGCATGAGTAGGAGAGGACAGGTCCTGCTTTGGGCATGCAGGACCTCGGAAAATCCTTCAGCACTGGCATGAATGGGACAAATCCTAGCAAGTATGACAGAAAGCAGCTATTAATGTACTGAACACTCACCTGCGTGTGTGGATAAGTATGCACACAAACTAGACATGCATGCAGGCATCAGGATTGTCAAGGCTGTCTAGCTTATCAAGGCACTTAGGAATCCCAGCACAGGGCACTGACTTCTTGCTTCATCCTTTGGGCAGGACAATGTATTTGCACCGAAACATGCCTGGCTCCTCTGCAGAGGCTGATGCTGGTCACGGAGCTGGGATGGCAACAGCCAGATCTGCTGGGATCCCAGGGCCATGCTGCACGGCATCTCCTGCCCAGCGATACAGAGGGTACTGACAGATCAGTCCCCATGTCAGTGCCAAGAGTGAGCTGTTCACCCGTACGGGTCTATGCCACATCTTTTTGGCAGCCCCAGTGATGGATTTGGAAGAGACAGGTCACAAATGCAACAGTTTGGGCATTGCCCTCCCTGACATTCACACCGGTGGAAACTGGCTGTGGCAGAGGTAGAAAGTACCCAGAAACACCCCATGAAGTTGTTGCAGGTGGGCCTCAGATACTGCCACACTGGCTGCCCAACTTGCAGCATCACAGACTCTCTGAGATGTGAGCCATCCAAGCATCCTCCCCTGCTTCTTCCCATGGTCGCTCTTCCCTTCTCATGAACCATCAAGCCTAGAGCAAGGCTGGCACTAAGTAATGGCCCTGCTGATGTCCTTCACTCCTGGCTTGTGATGGTCCCTCCCTCCTCCACGTGTGGTTGTTCTGTGAAGCTGAGCACCAGTCCCAGCGCTGTGAATCCCAATGGTGGCCAGTGCAGCCTGGAGACCCTCAGCCTGACTTGCACACATAGTCCTCTAGCGCATGTTCCCAGGACCTTGGTACACCCATGACACTGCTCTTACTCTTCTCTGGCCCACACTACATGCCACCGCATGTGACCAGCTGGTCTTGCGTGCTTAGACCTCAATACCTCAACAGTCTTCCTGAAGGGAGGAGCACAGAAGAAAATCTATAGTTTGATAAGGAAAAGCAACCTCCTGGCAAACTCTCTGCACAACCCTGCTGTAACCTGGAGTACATGCAGAGTGCACAGAGGGGCTGTCTGCAGTACAAGGAGTGCACAGCTAGATCTAGGCAGGTGCTTTATGGCCCACTGTGTGGTATGGGGGCACCCAGACATCAGTGGTTTTATTTTCATAGCATCCTGAGGTCAAAGATGGTGGTCACACAGAAGATGAAGTCGCTTGCACAGTGACTCCATGAAGCACTGGTGGCACAACCAGGAATGGACACCAGCTCTCCAGCACAGCCAGCCTGAGCTGCAAGGCCAGGAGCTGCATGTTTGGGGAGATACACCCTATTTCATAAATCCAAGCCTGAGTGCTGCTCCACTCTGAACTACCTTCTCATTCATTAATCACAGAGCTGAGACTAGTTATCTGTGCATATCAGAAGAAAAATGGCCCTGCCTGACTTCTTGGGATTGCTTACTAACGTTCCTCTACCTGCAACCTGGAGTCCTTAGCTCCAAGGGGGCTGGGCTAATATTTCCTGCTATTCTGAGCATCCTGAAATATGAATGATGTTGGGCAAATGCGTGGGACAGTTTGAAGGGAAACAGGAGCATTAGCAGAGCATGTTTCATGCAAGGACACCCTTTGTTGGCACCAGTTAAAGATTGCATAACCATGCTGAGTATGTCTTATTTATTACTGTTGTGTTAAATGCTCAACCTGCCTTCAGATCACGGATTACTCAACATCCTTTTAATTTTTCAGCTTTTTAGCTGGTTAGCGTACTTCACCCCTTGCAGATGACAACCATTTAGGAAAAAGAAATCTTTATTTTATATCTTTTTTGTATACTTGTACACAAGTAAAATAAAATGCATATCTATATATACTGCAATCTCGTGAAGGAAAAGGTAGCATTCTTTAACAAATGCTGCCCGTAAACATGGTGTGATGGAATGAATACGGAAAAACTGCAATATTCATAAACATAGGATTAAAACAGCATCAAATTCATTACCTCTGCAAATGGGAACCTGCAATATTGTTCAGTGTGATGTCAAGTTACAAACAGATTTTAGACATTCTTTTCAGAGCATTTCTTACACTTTTTTTTTTTTCTTCCTGTAAATAAACCATATTTCTTTACCATCTGCTGTAGCAAAAGCTGCTTTTTGGGCAAGTGCAGTTCCGAAGACCAAAGGTATAATTCACAGGATTCAGGGCAAATAAATTATGTACATCTTGGTGTTTGTCTTTTTTGTTTTGTTTTGTTTTGTTTTTTTTATAAAGGCATCCAGTTAACTTTTGTGTAACAAAGCTTTCTCAGGGTGGATGGTAGTTTTGCTTTTGTTTGCAACATTTATGGAGGTCAGCAAAAGTCTAGTATTAAAGTGTCATCAACCCAGGAAAAGAGTTAATTTTAGCAGAATAACAGTAAGCTCCACACCAAGGGGGGGATCAAAAGGCTTAGGCTGAGCTGTAACGTGGAGCTGTTTCCTTGCTGGGTGAGGCGGCACTGAGCCTTTGATTTGTTCTTTTTAGAGCAGCCCTGCCTCTTTTTGGTTGGGATTGTGGAAGGTTCAATAGGCTCTAGAAATTCTGGTTTCAACTTGGTCAATGGAGGGTCTACAATGCTGGGGAAGGTCCCAAAGGGGGAATCGTTTATCTGCTTGTTGCTGCCATTTTTGGAAGGGTCCGTCTCAACATACTTGGTTTTGGACATGTTCTCCTTATCCTTGAGAGGGTTGTTGGAGGATGGCCGGCTGCTGTGGGAAGAAGGACCTGCCTTGCCTTTAGCTTCATAAATAAAAGATTTATCCGTTTCTGGCTGGCAGCACTTCGGGGAGCCATCGTGGGAACCAAGAGGGGGGACCCCAGTTGGCAGTTTACCAGATCTGGTCTTAGTGCTAAAAATGCTTGTTCGTATCTGGTTGAAGGAGTCGACGCATCCTTCCAAGTCGGCGCTCTGCAGCCTTTTGAGGTCTCTCCCTGCCAAGCGAGGGGGAAGGTGGCACTCTAGCTCCGAAGACGATCCTTTAAACTGTTTAAACCAATTCCAGAGAGACCGAGCCTGGCAGTCACAGATCCACTGGTTGCCATTCAAGCGCAGGTACTGGAGGGACACCAGGGGAGCCATGGTTTCCCCCGTGAGCACTGTCAGGTTGTTGTTAAACAGATACAAGGTCATCACTTTCCCAAGGTCATGAAAAGACCGGCGGTGAACCAGGCTGACCCTGTTCTGGTGCAGAAGCAGCCGGTCAAGGTTGATTAGCCCACGAAAGACGTTCTCGGACAAGCTCTTGATTTTGTTACCATGCAAAAACAGGTAGGTGAGGTTTGCGAGATCTATGAAGGTGTCATCCAGCAGGTTCTGAAGATTATTATCCTGAAGGTAGAGATATTGCAAGGAGAACAAACCTCGAAAAAGCCCTGTGGAGAGCTCCAGGAGCCCACAGCGATCCAGGTGTAAGGTGTGGAGGTGAACAAGACCCCGGAAAGTGACAGGGTTGATAGATTTCAGGTTCGTGTTGTCGCTGAGATCTAACTCCTCCAGTTTGTTGAGCCCATAGAAGGCTCCAGGCTCAATGAGGCTGATGTTGTTGGAGTGGATCCAAAGAATTGTCATATTGCGGCAGGAGGTGAAGCTGGTGGACCTCACAAGGGTTATCTTGTTGTTGTGCAAGAAGATGCGCTGGCTCTGGATGGGTATCTCAGTGGGGATTGCTGTCAGTCCTTGCTGCTGACAACTTATTGTAATCTTCGGTTCACTGTAGCATACACACGCCCCGGGGCAAGACTCCACTTCTGACTGGATGTTCAAGCAAAGCACCAAAATCAGCAGTTTGCTTCCTAAAGGATAACAAAAATAGTATGCAAATTAGCCAGGGTCATGGGAGAGCGCTTTCCTTTGCAGCTAATAGATGAGCCTGAAAATCACCATTCTAAGTGCGTTGCCACTAACCACAAACAACATATGCCAGGGGAGCCAAACAATTAAAATGCAGAATTAAAAACGCTCTACCGCTCAACACAATAGCTAAAATCAATATACACTTGTAGTGACAAAGTCTGAGCACCTCCTCAGCCTTTCACACTTTGGTGGCGAAAGAGAGTGATCGTTATGTATTTGCATTGTGGGTCCTGAACGCACATCTAACATAAGCCCTGTTCCAAAGAGCTTACCTCTGAGCAAAGGGGCTGTCTTCTGGGGCCATTTGTCTCTGCCACAGGCACATTTAGGCAGTTCAGCCTATGGGAAAGCATCTGCCCAGCTGTGGCTGATGCCTGCAGCCACGGGGTTGTACTAGGCAACTCAGCGTCCCATTCCAGCAGTGCCACCAGCTCCTTGCTTTTCGGGATCATTGAACAACTCTCCAAAACAAGCAGGTGTCCCCAGATTGCGTTCAAAACGTAAGATGGAGATGTGGCTTTTGTGACTTTCCATGAACAATTTCTGACTGACCTGGTCTTCCTGTAAGAAATAACTGTGAGGGTTCCCAGAATAACTTACAGGTCAGACCTGCCTGTAGAGGTCTCAGGGCCAAGAGCATCCTTTCCTTCTCTCAGTCAAACCTTTACACCACATACTCTTGCTTTCCCTTCCTCTGCCCCCTTTTTCCCTTTGAATCTGGGCAGCCACCAAGGAAGAGGAGAAAACAGCATGTTTTTCCACAAAGGGCAGTACTGTTGTTGGAGGAAATCACGTGCAATGCTTGATTCAGGGATTCCTCAAAGTTTGCAAGGCAGAAGTAGGTTTCATGTGTCCCAAGTGTGCAGGCATCCCACTGGGGTTGAAAAGCCCCTTAGAGGAACATTTTTTCATGGCGATGACCACCTCCTTCCCAGGAGCTGGGCTGCACAGGAATCACAAGGAAGCATTTTGATTCACCAAATTCACCAGCCCCAGCCGGGCTGCTGGGAAAGGGCCTGGAGGATGGGCAGGGATGGGCAGAGGCTGTGCAGCCAGCATCATCTTCTGAAAGGGGACCTGCGAGGGAGGGTCAGCGTGAACCTCCAGCTGAGACACCTGCAGAGAGACCTGCTGTTTCCTACCCACGGTGGGGAAGGCAGGGAGGAGAGGCAGTTTCAGCAGTGCTTTATCAGCAATTAGCAGCAAGTAATTAGATTGCTTCCTCTAAACCACTTACAGGAGCTAAAATGAATGGGCAGCAACTGTAGCAGCGGGAGGCTCTGTTTGTGAAACACCATGTGCAAGCAGGGACGTGTGTGTCTCCTGGCCAGCTCATCACAGCACCTCTGGCAAAAAGGCACGTTCCTCCCCATCACTGGGGATCCCCAGCCCAGGGACAACAGCAGCTTTCCCTCTTTGCTGTTGTGGGAGGTATTTTCCTTCCCTGAAAGACTGAAAATATTGTTCAGGCATGTTGATGCCTCATTACACCTTAAGGTAAAATAGCAGAGTTCAAAAAGTCAGGAATAAAGAGACAACGATGCAGATTGGGCAAACTGGGGAGACTGGAGAGAGCCCGGTCGCTTCCAGCCACGTGTGCATGGTGCAGCATGCTGGCTCCCGCGGGGCCAAATCCTGGAGACAGCAGTTGTATCTCACAGAAAAGCCTGAAAGGCAATCATGGAGCTAATGAAATCACATCATCTCTGCATCAAAGCAGCAACTTCAAACCCCAACAATAAAGGAGTAAATCATACGGAAATCTTACCAAACTGTTTACTGAAGCAATAACAAAGGTATTGGAGAAACCGCTTTTCTGCAATAACAGGCTGGGATCCCAGGCCTGAGTTTCACGCTAGTCAAAATAATTCACCGTGTGCAACTAATAAATCTGTGGTGATCCAACAGTCCAATATAGGTGGGAGACTCCTATATATCATAGTCCACATGGGAGAAAAAATAACAGCTCGGCATGCAGAGATAATTTGAGCCTGATATTATTAGCTGCTGAGCATCCCTGGAAGGCAGTGTGTTGAGTGCAGTATTATGACACATTCTGGCTGGCTTGTCATGTTTTGACATATCATGTCCCATTGTATGGAGCAACTGTAACAACTGTATGGAGCAAAGTAACACGAGACAACTGAAATCCCCTGCTGGAGACATGTCACATCAAAAGGAGTCTCCTGGGAAATTAAAACAATGCTGGCAACTCTCTGACCAGCACGATTCCTCTCCAGCTGATAATGAAAACCTGTAGCCAGAGAAATATGACTTTCTGGAGCCTCTTTCTTCAGTTTCGTGATTCAGATGATGTGGGCTGGGGTGGCACTGGAGCAATGGGATTCACCTCACTACGCAATACCACCTGCTCCAGCAAAAGAGCACTCGGACTGCAGACAATGCTGTAGGCTCCACGGCTCTTCCCAGCTGCTCCTCCCTGCCTTGGCAATACCGCAGGGGCTACAGCCTACTCGGGGAAAATCCAACCACAACCCAGATGCATCCCACATGCCTTATAACTATGCGACACGCTCACAGTGGAGTGAATGCAAAGAACCATTCCTATGGGAGAGGAATCACAATAACACTCCTGTTCCACCTCCAGCCAGGGGAGGCAAGTGTAGAATAAATATATGTATACACGGGGAGAGAAAGAGAGAACATGAAGCAGCCAGCAGGGAACAAGCCATGCATATGAATACCGCCCTGCTCTGTGCCACCCCCTCCTGACAGCCATGCTCCTGCACCCTCTGGATCACTTGATTGCTTGTGCCCTGAGCGTGCACCACCAGCCCTTTCCTATGGACACAGCCAGGCAGCAAGGTCCTGTCCCAGCCTCTGGGTGTGTGCAGAGCTGGAGGCATGCTACAGCTTCTCCCCAGCTGAGAGGAGCAGAAGGGAAGGGGCAAATCCTGCTCCACTCTGAAAAATGGCTTTTCTTCTCCCGCTGCCGATGCCTCTGAGGCTGGTGGGAGCTCTGAGTCAGTAGCACTGATAGCTGGCTGCCAGTGGAGCAGCACAGGGAAATTAATTACAGGCAGGGCTAGCCTGTGTGCTTTAATTAGCGACCTGGTGTTCTTGAGCTGCTCGGCTTAGCTCCTTCCACCAGAGACAGTTACTGTCAATCATCTCCCAAAGCTTTTTTCCAGTTAGTTTCCCACCGTGCAGCTCAACCATATCCTGACTGATCCATGACAAAGCTCAGCACCCAGCAGTTGTCAGAGAGTCCCTGGCCAGCACAGAGCCTGAAGCAAGTGCAGGAGTGGGTGCAGCCCACAGACAGCCTTGGGAAGTCAAGGTGATGCTGCAGACCCTTTCTTCCCGAGCCAGATTAGGGTGTGCTGTGGCAGAGACCAGAGGGACCATGCCTTGGCCTTCCCCTGTTGCTCCAAGGAGCTTCTCCATCACTGGTGTTCAACCAGTAACTGCCTTGTGCTCAGTGTGTCCCAGACCGCAGTGGTCACCAAGTGCCATAAGCCATCCAGACCTTGCACCAGGATAGTTTCATCCATCCAATTCTAGGCAAATATTACCTTGCTTTTTCTGACCAGGTGCCAAGTGACTACTTTAGGACAGGGATGAGCACAAGGCAGGGTCCTGGGACAGGAAGGTTGCTAAGACCTGGCATCAAGCCACATTAACACAGCCACACAGTTTTAGGATGGTTTGAAGCACAGCAGACCTTGTTCCTGTCTGCCTGGAATACACCCCCATATTTTCAGGTAATCTCTTACTCTAGACCAAGTCCGGCAAGATTGAGACAGGCCAACTGTATCACTGCCCTGTGCCCCCAGGGCTGGAGCCCATCACTTGGAAACAGGCATCTGTTTTGGGGCCCAATGTTGTGACGCAAAGCACAGACACAAGCCCTTTTATGCTGAGCTGAGCATCGCAGCATGGTGTGGACCATGACCTCACTAAGCCTCATGCTCTAGCACAGAGCTGGGGCCATAACACAGAGAAGGAGCTGGAGCACTGACCTGAGGACTGTATTGCCGAGATGGGTAGAGGAACCAGGCACCCCAAGACCCATCAGCCGGGCACCCTGGCACAAAGCCAGGTGCTCCGCCTTCTTCTGTTCTCTCCACCTCCCCTTGTTCCTCTCCCTTTTTGATTAGCTCCTTCTTTCCATCTTCCTCCCCTCCTTCACAACCACCATGTCCCAGGGCTTGTCCAGCTGAGGTGAAGGCAGCACCCAGGCAAACCAGTCCATCCCCAGAGAGGCTGGGACACATCCTGGAAGTGCCCAGAGCCTGTACACTGTCCTGTACACCACACTACAGCTTGTTTCCCTTGGCACCAAGCAGAGGGGAAGGATGAAGACCTTCAGAGGGTAGCCAGGCAAAGACCACAGACACAACTTAAAACTTGCCAGGAATAGTGTGAGTGTCGTGGGCTTCTGCTCTTCTTGGATGGCACCAAGTGTCCATGATGCTGAGGGGTCCCAGTGGGTGCTGCCCTGAGGAGAAAGGTCAAAGCCCTGGTTGAGGGCAGATGACAAGAATCCAGAGGACCTGGGCAGAAAGAGCCCAGCTGCGCTGCAGCCTGGTTGGCACAGGCAAACGCCATCGTTTGTTTTCCTGGAGTGCTGGGTTCAGCTCTGGCTGTGGGCTCCTTCTTTGTCCAGGAAAAACATACCCTGCCCTTAGCCAGAAGTACAGGAGATATTCACTGGTGGCACAGGAAGGAGGGAGGTCAGAAGGTCCACTGTGTGTCCATTCCCAGAAATATGTGCCAAGACCAGCTCCCAGTGTGGAACTACAGCGTCCTTCCCTTGACCTGCCAGATAAATCCATCCAAGAGCTCTGCATACGCAGTGTGCTCCCACCACCACTGCCAACTGATTGACACCAGACCCTCCACCACCTGCTGGACTCTTCCACTTGCAGGACTCAACCTCAGTGCTCATCCCTGAGGAAAAGTGTCTTGGCATAACATCCATTCCCTCATCTCTTAGATGAGAAGCCATTCCTACCCCTTCCAGAACACGATTAAAACTTAACTGGACAGTTCCAGTCAAAAGCAAAAGATGAAAGAAAACCCAGTACCTGGAACTTTCAGTCCCTCCAAGACTTTGGCTTTGAGTTTAGCATTTGTTCCTCCAGAGCTTTCTTAAAAGCCAGATACCTCCTTCAGTCAAACTGCCGCACTTCCCCTTTGCCATCTCAGAAGTGTTATGACTCATGGAACTGGGAAGCAATTAAAGTGGGTCCATTATCTGTCTTTCCGCTAGTCCCCTGTGCGATCGCATTGTCAAACATGGCAATTAGAAAGAAAAGGCTCCGGGGGCCTCTAATAGATGCTTTG